TTTTTTTTTTTTGTGTGTAACATTATTATGCAAATCGAGAAAAACACTACTTAATTTGTTATTTATAACACTAGTAAAGTGCACGTCCGATGCACGTGGTGTCGAATGATATTCGCGGAGTAAGTTTGCAAAATAAATTAATTAATTTATTAAACATATCCTTGCAGAAATGGAGTAAAATATAGAAAAAATAAACTCATATGTGATTTTTTTATTTAGAATTAACGTAATGATGTCCTCATATAAAAAGAGTTAAATAACGTTTTACAACTCCCAACAAAAATATATATAAAAAACAAATCACTAATAAAAAAACACAAAGAGGTCATTTTTGTTTTGAAATAAGAACATTCATAGTCGTTGGAGTCCAATACATCAATAATATTGTAAAATTTCTCTTAATTAATTTGGGAAAACGCCAATTTTATTCAAACACTTAAGACACATTCTGACCCAACATATAGTCAAATTTCATGATCGCATGATCTTTATAACAAGGTACTTCTACTAACAAAGGATAAATATCTCTATGAAATAACTCACGGTGTCACTAAAATTGCTGATATTTTTTATCACTGTATAAACTACTAATTCCTCTTAATTAATTTTACATTCCTCTGTCTCTAGATATATTGGTGTCTACCCTATTGATGCATTGCCCCACGAGGTGAGAATGAATTTTATCTCCAAATAAAACTTGACTTTCCAAAATCTGGGTTACATGTACTTCTTCCGAGGTGCTAAATTATTTTTTGAAATCACCATACATTACCTGAAAAGTACCTCTAAAGTAATTGCACATATGTTCAAGCGCAGTACACCAATGAGATTATAAATATTTCTATAAGAAATGACAACTTCATTCTAACATTGAAAACTGTTTTGATACTCATACATTTCATTTTCAGTGTTATTTATTTAGAATATAGACAAACAATATAATCTATTTTTTGCAATGATAAAACAAAACAAACAAAACAATGAGAAAATATTGAGAAGCATATCATTTGTTAAAATATTTGACAGCAGAAGAATTAGAATTCCATTATAGGACGATACTTTTAGTCATCTGTAAAGTTTACTCTTATGGAGTCATGATTTAAAATATACATCATGTATACAAATTTTTGGATTTTTTAATTATTTAAAATTGAAAATAAATAATATATGATCATTATTTATGAGAACCAATTTCTTGCAGAGTCCATATATTTAAACGCTAGCAACAAAAAAGTAGTAATTTTAAAAGACTTTTTGTTTGTAAATATTGATATTCATACCTTTCTAAGAAAATTAGCACGTTTTCTTTTTCTCATTGCATTATTATTATATCATTTGTTTCTTATTCTATAGACAAATAATATTTTATTTGCTAAGTAATTAAAGCACATTTATATGTATTACGGTATTTTCGTATGTGTTTTATATAATGATGTTATTAAATTATCTTATTTATTAGGCTACAATTAATATAATCACATAAGATTAAATGTAATGTAATATATTTGATGAAGTTGTACTTTTTATACGAATTAATAGATTAAATAGTTTAGAATTTTTTTTCAATGTTTGATAAAATATTAATTAACCAAGTCATTTTCATAATCACTGAATACATATATGGTACCACCATTATAGGGTTCCTTTTCCAGCAGTAATTGACTTCACATAGCTAATGTTATTTCATTTCTTTTCTCTGACCTAGTCTTTCCTTTTATTTATGACTTTACGTTGCTTCGCTTCGTTTGTACCCTAAGGTGCATTTGCCATAGTTTCAGCATTACGACAAACTCGTGTCAAACATATATCGGATTTGGGTGCTCTAGCCAAAACGTTGGAACAGTTAGAAGTTTGCACCCATTTTTTTACTTTTTTTTTTTAATATGAATTGTTTCAAATTTATGTATGAAAACATACCACAAGTTTATCTTATGTTATTTTATACTTAATGAAATTGATTTAACTTGAATATAAAAATTTATTACATTATATACTTTAACACCAATTTATTATTTTAAATAAGTACTGATATATATATATATATATTATTTTATATCAATATAAATAATTATATTATTTTTATGTTATTGCAATATATGGGTCAACTCAAACGTCATTGAAAATAAATGATGTGATATATTACATATAAAAAGGTAACAAATAAAAAATATGAAGTATTTTAAAATTAAAAAATTTAATGATAGAAAGTAACAAAAATCTTAACTAAAAAATTTTAAGATTAACATACCCACTTTTAAAGAAATATACATATGAATATATACATATATATATATATATATATATATATTTCTCATTAGTCAGCTTCAATTGATATTGTACATTAAGTAATTTTATCAGCATTTTTACTTTTGGATTTAATGAGAGATATAAGTTTTGTCATCATTCTTACCCTTTATTTAGTTATTATAATACTAATAAAATAATTAAGGATCTTTCAAAGTATCTTGTTTGTTTTGAAAAAAATTACTTCTTATCATAAATTGAATGCCAATTACATTGAATGTGTTATATTTTTTATCGTATCAAAAAATTTCATAATAATAGTTGCACACAATATTATATATAATGCATTTTTTTAATAGATTTGGAGTCCTAGTTTTACTACAAGAAAATGAGAAAATTCCAACAGAAAATACAACAAATATAACGATTTTCTTATGTTGATTTAAGAAAAATCTTGACTTTTGGTTTCTTAAATATATTTTACCTTATTGTGATTGCATAGATTTATTAAAATGTATTACAAATGAGAAAGGCGATAGATTATGTAAAGTATAATTTATAAATTGCAATGACATGTTATTTTGATGGTATATTTTTTCTATTAACTAAATAATACTCCCAATATGAAACTATTTTGGATCTATCACTGCAATTATCTTTCCAATGGAACTTCTATTGAATTTTTGTATAATACCAATGACAATTTTTTCAACGATTGCAATATGGTCCAAAATAAATTCCAAGAAATTCATGTAATTGAAATCTTTGAATCCACTAAAGTTCATGCAATTTAATTTGAACACTAATGGAATAGCCAATAAAATTTTCCAATGAAAGCAATATATTCGTGGGAATTTTCAGTAGAATACATGAGTTTTTCATTGCAGTATAGCAATTTTTTGTAGTCCTCTCAAACATTATTTTTTATGTAGTATTTATTGAGTAATTGTGTTTAAAATTTTTCTATTAAACATATATTAAACACGTGAACCTTTTAGTTCCTATAATTTTTGTTTTTCAGAAATCACTCATTATTTTATCTCAAAATTACCTATTAATTTACCAATTGAGTTACATTTCTTACATATTAAATATTATATAATTAAAATAGTTCTTGTTTTATATGTTCAATATGATACTTATATATTATATTAAAAAACTAATATAGTAAATAAAAAAGTTGTTTAGAATTAGAATAATAAAGATTTTTTTTTTTTCTAATCTACATGGATAAATGTACAAATTATTATTGTCTTATCACCTCAAATTAACACATAAAATTAATAAGAACAAAAAATTAACAAGCGTTTAACAACTCAGTTCAATTACATCGATAAGTATATTTTTAGAAGGTTTATATTTAGTTATATTAATTATATTATTTTTGTTTATTAGTTTGTTTTATATTTATTAGTACATGTCACAACTTATTTATTATTCATATTATTTCTTATATTTCATTTTTTTTAAAACTTTTTCTTTTTCTTTCACATGTTCTTAACTGTAGATTTGTCAAAAAAGACATAATATAAAGTATATAATTTTTTCGATCATCTGTCTCATTATATATCAAATATTTGTATATCCTATATTATATTATATTTAATTACAATTTTTTAATTAATATTTTAATTAAATATTTACAATTTATAAATACATTAATAATATTGTCGAGTCAACTTTTGTTCATAAAATTTTTAAAAATATATTATTTTCATTCACTTGCTTATGTTGAATTGAGAAAAGTTATGTTTTTTTTTTAATTGTAACTGTATTGATGTGTAAACATGTACTACATATGAGAAAGATGACAAATTATGAAAAATATAATTTATAAATTATAATGACATTATGTTATTTTAATGGTATACTTTTTCTATTAACCAAATAATGCCTCAAGTATGAAATTATTTTGTATCCACCACTGCAGGTAGATTTCGAATAGAACTTCCATTGAAATTTTTACAATTCCAGTGACATTTTTCCAACTGTTGAAATATGACCCAAAATATTTTAACAAAAATTCACGCAATAATAAATAATGATAATTGAAATAATTATATTACACAATAATACATAATGTAGTTTGATCTCCGTTGAAATAGTCAATGCAATTTTACAATGACAGATATAAATAAATATCATTTAGAAATTTCAGTTAATTTTTTATCGTGATGTCTTTGAAAAAAAAAAAAAGTTAATGTCTTACCGTTGAATTTTTCATTGCAATGTACCTTTTTTTATTCCTTTATATATTATAATTTTTATTAGGAGTTTTTGTTATTAATTAATTGTATTTATAATTTTTATATTAAAAATATATTAAACAAGTGAACTTGGTAATCCATATAATTTTTTGTAGAAATTGCTCATTATTTTATCGCAAAATTACCTATTAATTTATCTATTGAATTACATTTCTTGCACTTACACATTACATAACGAAAAGTATTATTGTATCTATATAAAATATGCCATTAATATATTATATTAAAAAACTAATAGCAAATAAAATGTTATTTAAAATCAAAATAATTAATTTTCTAAGAAAAATAAATTTCTAACCTTCATGGATAAAAGTATAAATAACTGATGTCTATCATCTAAACTTTATATACAGAACTAATAAGCGCAAAAAATTAAACAAATTTTAAAAGTTCTATAATTAGTTTTACTAATTATAATATTTTTATTTGTTACTCTTTTTTCATAGTTATTAGGAAGTGTTACAACTTTATTATAAATTTAATATTATCAGATTTAATATTTTTTACTTTATATTGTTCTTTCATATGTTTTTAATGTGCGTGTGTGTTTGTGGGTAACTTTTCGGTTTGTTCAAAAATATATAAAATTAAGTATAGCACTTTTTAGGTCATATGTCTTATTTATATCAATTACTTTTATATTTTTATATTATTTTATATATAATTATAATCTTCTCATTTATTCTCAAATATATAATTTTTTTATTTCGTACATTTTTTTATAAACTATTTTATTGTAATAACACATATAAATAAATAAATGACTAATGATAATATATATGAATATAATTTTTTGATAAAAAAGTAATTAATTTCCAACATGTAGGCATATTATGATTCTCGAGATATTTTTAATTGGTTTGTAGATAATTATATGGTCAAAATTAATCCATATTGCTAAAATGGTATCTCATTAGACGTGAAAACAAATTGATACAGTTTAATATTATACAATTTCATAAAATTGTTCTGATCTTATGTGGTAACGAAATTGAATAGATTAGAAGTTTATGTTGCAGAATAATCATTCAACAATTAATCTCGCATACTATCACACATTTTTTATAGGTTATTTTGAAAATAATGTTTCAATATCTTGTGGTTGTTATGAGAAAAACAATATCGATTTCTAGTTTTACAAGTGTTTTCAACAATTAATTTCGCATACTATCACACATTTTTTATAGGTTATTTTGAAAATAATGTTTCTATATCAAACAGTTTTAAAGATATGTGGAAGAAAATAATTTTATTTTAGGAGTGTGGAATGAGTTGGTGAGTTGGTCATGTATTTACATTTAATTAATTGATATTAGTTATTAATTAATAATAAAAGATCTGATGGCATTAGTATATTATCAATTTGCCATTAAAAACATGTCAAAGTAAGGATTTTTTAGGTAGTTCATTTTTAATTAAAAATATAAATAAAATATGATATGTATTAGTGTATTACTAATTTGCCATAAAATTTATGTCAAAGTAAGAGTCTTTTTAGGCATAATGAATTTTTACAAAAACACTCCTCTTTTTAAAGTAGTATAGATATAGATTATTATGCAAATGACTGACAATAAACAGTAATCTGAAAGAGTAATGCTATAAGTACATAATATTGTACATAAAAAGTGTACATAACACTCATAATGAACTAATTTGTTATTTGTAACATTATTACGCATATGATAATGAACAGTATTATACAAATCGAATTATGATGGCCTTTTTTTTATCATAATATTTTTTCATTATGATAGAGAGCTTTTTTTTTCCAAAAGTATATGATAACTTATTGAAAAATTATATAGTGTTCGTATGACCAGAAAACATTGAGAAAAAGACAGGGGCAAACTCGTAATTCGAAGTCACAAATCGCCCATTCGTATATGGCTATTTCACGTAAACCACCCCTCTCCAAACTGACACACTCTCGACCGTTGGCAACGCCGAGCTTTTCGCCGCCTCCGCCAATTCGCCCCCAAAATTCCCGCCGTCCGAAAACCCCAATTGCGGGCCCTCCACCATCTTCAGCGACTTTTCCAGCGGTATGAAGCTTTTGTTTTCCCTTTTTCTCGTGTCTGTTGCAAGTTCAAGGAGATGAAGGTAACGAGATTTCAGGGATTAGAGAGAGGATTTCACCAACCACTGCCAGGTGTGCGACCCGGGTCGACCAGCGGATTAGTCGGGACATAGCTCCGGATATCGTGGCTGGCTACAAAAAAAAAAAGAGAGGATTTCATTTTTTTGTTGATGCCAATGTTCTTCATTGGTGAGTTGATCGTTTGGATTTTATTCTAAACTCTGCCTTTTCCAGGTTTTTGCTGGCTCGCAAACATCTTTGAGCTAATAAATGCCATTTTTTTCCTCAATAAATGTAGTACTAAATCAAAGATCTGATTTATATCTTTTATTCCAAATCGCGTATGTGGAGAACAATGATAATTTTATGTAAAAATGCTGTAGCACATTGGTGCTAGTTCTTGTCGCTTATCAGGTATTATGTATAGATTATTGTGACGATGCATTTCTCCGGGAGTATTTATGTTGTATGATCTGTTGGATGTTTACAGTTGACTGCATTTTCTATTAGTAGGATTATTAGCTCGATGAACGAGTATCGGGAAATCAGGAGACCCGGTTTTCTAGCCTCCTGGTAATTTATTTTAAGTTTCATCAAACAAAATTGAACTTATCATTTCATCGTGCTTACCAGGGCAAGAGTTTCAGGAGGATTGTTCTACTTAACTGAAACTATAAGATACTCGGATTCATTGTTTACTTTTTGCTAGTTTTCGATATATGCTCGTGCCGTTACTTTCTCTTTGTATCTCAATGTAAAAACAGTATCTCATGTACTAACTTAGGGGTTAGTGCAGGTGATAGGTAAACTTCCACCAGAATATGGCTAATCTTCAAGATATTGCAACATCAGCTTACATCAATCTCATATCCGTATTGGCATTTCTTATGGGCTTTGCAATTTTACGGCTCCAACCAGCTAACGATAGAGTTTACTTTGCAAAATGGTATAAAGAGGGAAAAAGATCAAGCCCCAAAAGCTTAGGGACTTCATGGAGGAAATTCATCAATCTAGATTTCAGAACTTATTTAATGTTTTGGAATTGGATGCCTGAAGCTTTGAGAATGCCAGAACATGAGCTGATAGACCATGCAGGACTTGATTCTGTCGCATATATGAGAATTTACCTTCTCGGGTGAGCTTATAAGGTTTAACTGCTCCTAGCTTTATAATACCAGAAACTCACCACATATTTTTCAATGCTAAGCCAACCATTTTCTTTTGAATTTCTTGAACTATGCGTTCAAATTGTGTTTCTTATCTTCAATAGGCTACACTGATTATAACCTTGAATGCAGATTGAAAGTCTTTGTCCCTATGTCAATACTTGCTTTTGCAGTATTGGTCCCTGTGAACATGACCAGTGAAACATTAGACAGCATATCTGATTTGACATACAGTGATATTGACAAGCTTTCGATATCAAATGTTCCTTCAGGATCCTTAAGGTGGGTACTGGGTTCTCTTTGGTCCTCTTACTGTGATGCTTTCCAGAGGCAACGGTCTAAGTTCTTAAATGTCTCTCTAAATGGGGATATGCTTGCAAATGAGAACAATACCCGTTATGCTTTCATGACAGAACATAATCACGACTAATCAATGCCTTGGTCATATTCTTTGTAATGTTCATTGATGGTTAAAGTATATTTTCTTAAATTCATCGTTAATCATTCATTTAAAAAGTAAGAAAACGCTAGACTTCGAGGAAACTTTGCTGTCCCCTGTAAAAATGTATTGATCTGTGCTGAATCCTTGCAAAGATCAATATCCTTGTGCCACCGATCATTATGGGTACATTTGCCAATTGCTTTCATGTTAACTATATAGGGTCAAATTTTCAGATTCATTTGTTCAAACTCCATTTTTCCTATGGTCTCCCTTAAGTCTTAGTATTGAGTGAAAAATGTATAATATCTTTTGAATTCATAATGTTTGTAACATATTTTTTCACTTGAAGCCAACAGTCATTTTCTCGCTCAGGTTATTAGCCCACATAATAATGGCATATGTGGTCACATTTTGGACATGCTATGTCCTACACAAAGAATACAAGTTCATAGCTACAAAGAGGTTGCAATACATAGCTTCTGCAAAGCGCCGGCCTGACCAATTCACTGTGAGTATGTAAAAGTGTTATGTTTCTACCTTATGTCCAATGCCTAATCAGCTGCTTCTATGTGCATGCTTGCAAATACCAACATTTGCTACTTGATCACTGCCTCTTTTCAGGCCCAATTTTCTCAAAATTCATCACTATTTCATTTTCAGGTCCTTGTGCGAAATATTCCACTGGATGAGGATGAATCAGTCAGCGAACTCGTGGAGCATTTCTTTTGTGTAAATCATTCTGATCATTATCTCACACATCAGGTTTGCTTTTAGGCTACTTGTGATAAATGATGTACCGATAATTTTGACTTCTAAAAGTTGAATCTTATGCATGTTATCCGAAGTTGGCAAGCTTTATTTAGTTTATGAAAACGGATTGCAGGTCGTATATAATGCGAACAGACTTGCGAAATTGGTGTCAAGGAAGAAGAGATTGAGGAATTGGCTCACTTACTATGAGACACTGTTGGAGAGAAACCCTAGGAAGAGACCAAGAATAAAGGTATCTCCATTGCTTGTTGACTTTTCTAAAGGTGTTTGATGCTGAAATTTATTATGAATAATTATATTGTTCTTGAACATAACCTCCATATCAGTTAAAATATGGATTATCATCTGATTTCTCCAAGTGCATAGACAGGTTTTTGGGGCCTTTTTGGAAAGTGCGTGGATGCCGTTGACTACTATAAAGCAAAACTAGAGCAGATAATTGAAGAAGTAAGCCTGTTATGACACTATTCATAATTTTGTTAATCTTCTCTTTTTTCGAACATATAGACAAACCTATTTAAGCCAATTGCTCCTTTTCCATTTTATCCGCTCATGTTTATGTTAAAGTTTTGTTGTATGCTTAGTTATGTGCTAATTGATATTTTAAACTAATGCAGCTACTGGGAGGTGTTGCAAATAGTTATCCTAATCTTTCTCTCTTTTTTTCTCTGTTCTCTTTTAGGAATATTCAGAAAAGGATAAAATCATGAAGGACCCGAATGCCATAGTCCCAGCAGCATTTGTTTCCTTCAGGTCTCGCTGGGGGGCTGCCGTATGTGCTCAAACACAACAATCAGATGACCCAACTCTGTGGCTTACAGAATGGGCTCCCGAACCGCGTGATGTTTACTGGGAAAATCTCTCGATACCATATGTTCGACTCTCAGCCAATAGACTGATAATAACAGTCTCCATGTTCTTCCTCACATTCTTCTTCATGATCCCGATTGCATTTGTGCAATCGCTCGCGAGCATTGATGGCATGCAAAAAGTTTTCGTGTTCTTGAGACCACTATTTAGAAAGTAAGATAATGAATTTGCACAGTCCCGCTCACCTGCCCACGGTGGGCAGTGCCCACTAGTTTGTTTTATATGAAAAACGTATTCTGAGAATACGTTTTCTGAGAATATATTTATGAATTTGCATAATCGTCTGCTATTGTAATACTCTCGTGCTAATAGATCTGGATGTACCAAATAAATTGAAATCTTAGCTTGATTTGTGCTGAGAATAACTTTGATTTAGGCTCTTTGAAAAACTAGTCTCAAACTATGCAATGCTTTCTGAGTTTTACTGGCTACAAATACAACATGCTATTAGTATGATGCAAAAAAATCAGAAAAGTCACGTTCTATGTTTGAGAACTTGCTGGGGAAATAATCCGAGTGACAGTTTATTTAGTTTAGTAGATTAATTTCAGCAAATCATGGAGCTCTTCATTGTCATATCACCCATTCCAACTCTCACAATGATGTATATCAATTTTTGCCTTCAATATCATGCTCTATATATTTTATATCACTCAATCCGGATGATGATTTGGACATTGTACATATACTCGAGCATCAATTTATTGGTTGTGTGTGTGTGTGTCTCTGTATTAGGAAGCGTGTCAAGGCTGTTGTTCAAGGTTATCTTCCTGGAATTGCACTAAAGATATTTACGGCTGCTCTTCCAACCATTCTCATGATAATGTCCAAAATAGAAGGTCATTCATCTCATTCAGCAATGGACAGAAGAACAGCTGGAAAGTTCCATTTTTTTATACTTGTTAATATCTTTTTCGGAAGTATCATCACAGGGGCTGCATTTCAGCAGCTTGATAAGTTTCTTCATCAGCCCCCATCAGAGTATGTTGCATTATTTTGCTTCTTAATCAGCTCGCTTGCATGCTAGTTAGGCAATAACTGCATAAGTTGTAATCTATAGACTATAAGGTTACTTTTACAATCATCTGTCATAATCTGTTGAATTTAAACGAAGTATTATAACCCATTTTGTACTTACGGGATTTTGTTTCTTCATATATGCCTGGACTGCGTTGTACAAAAACTCTATTATTTTCTTTAGTCCATCCATTGATATGCAGGTATTTCCATCTAATTTATTCCATCAACAAGATATTTCTGGTAAAATCCTAAGAAATGCTCTTCTTTCTTATCTCAAATATTATCTGCTGCTTTTGTTTTGGTCAGTGTGGAACTGTAACAACCTGCAGTTTGTGCATGAAATATTGATTAGTTGGTTAATATTCAAAATAGTATGCTGGCATAATTTTCCTTTATTTCTTACTGGATTCTTGAATTCCATATTTTATTGATAAGTTCCGAGAACCAGATCAAACATTATTGACCTTATGCACATATTGTTAGTTGAACTTGGTTATATAATCTACCAAAACACACAGGTTTCTCCTCTTTGGTCTGAAATCTTGGAAACCTTAATCGAATATGAAATCCTGGATTATTGTTCCCATAAATACCTCCATTCCTGTCAAAAATATTAATCCGTAGGACCATTTTATTTGATTTTCAAAGAATGTTGTGCATGTAAAAAGAAAACGTATAATTTGACTTTCTGCTACCTTGTAGGATACCGAAAACTGTGGGTGTTGCGATACCAATGAAGGCCACTTTCTTTATCACCTACATCATGGTTGATGGTTGGACAGGTGTTGCTTCAGAGATCATTAGACTCGTCCCATTAATCAAATTCCACATAAAAAACACATTTTTGGTCAGGACGGATTGGGACAAGGAACTAGCAATGGAACCCGGAGCTCTAGATTTTACCACGGGAGAACCTCAAATACAGCTATACTTCTTGCTCGGCCTCGTTTACTCAGTAGTCACTCCTTTAATCTTGCCTTTCATCGTTGTCTTCTTCGCCTTTTCCTATGTAATCTATCGCCATCAGGTATGCTGCTAAATGAACCAACTTTTCAGCCAATTATGAAAAGCACCCTTGAGATTTGGTTTATCTGTAAATTAAAATCTGAACTATCGTTCAAGTTATGAGTACCCTCGTGATATATACCTCGACAGGTAGTTTTCTTTATCAGAAAATATAAATCACAAAATGCATGGGTAATTGTATATTTTTCAGATAAATATTTCTTTAATAAGGTCAAACACTTCGGAATGTACCTGAGAACTGAATACAAGTATCTCTGCTGTTTATTTATATAAGACATTAAAAATGTTGCCATTTCCGTGTCTGAGTTTGAAACATATATACTTATTATGTATTGGGTGTTTATATGTAGATCATCAACGTATATAGTCAGAAGTACGAGAGTGGGGCCCGGTTTTGGCCCGATGTGCATCGTCGTTTAATTGTAGGTCTAGTGTTGTCACAACTACTGCTGATGGGGCTACTGGGCACAATGAATGCTGCCAAATCAACTCCTTTGTTACTTATACTCACCGTCTTGACCATATGGTTTCATCAATACTGTAAGGGCCGATTTGAGCCAGCATTCATGAAGTTCCCTCTTCGGGTTTGTGCAAGCCTTTTAAGCTGAATTTCCATTTCCTACTATCTAACTCATCCATTCATAATATAGAAATAGATTTTCGGATCGATCAACAAACATGTTACAATAATTAGATTTGGAAGACCTTTTTACAAGCATTCTCAGCTTTTTGGCTGAAAGAATCAAAAGAAAATTCTTCCGGCTATTTTTAAATGCCAACTTCCTCGTCTAAAGTCTACATAAATTAGGTAGGAGCTTGATTTATGTCGAAAATTCTATTAACGTTTTTTCAAAATTTTGATTCTCGACGTGTTTTCACTTTTAATGCATGATGAATTACTCCTCGAAACAACTGCATAAGATTTAGCAATCACTTCCTTTTGATACTTTCAGTATGTTAAATGCAAATGTTTAGCATTACATGATTTTACACGTGACAAAACAGGAAGCAACTAGGAAAGACACGATCGAAAGGACTAATGAGCCGAAACTAGACCTAAAAGCTTACCTTCAGAATGCGTACGTTCACCCAGCTATGAAAGATATGGAGATGGACCAACCGAAAGCCGTGGATGATGAGGAGATTAATCCACTTGTCCCGACAAAGAGAGGTTCGGATAGGAGTAGTGTGTCTAGTTCCGGTAGCTTCACGACCGATTTTATTGAGGAAATGATTGCATACTTGACTCCTAACCATGCTGAGGCCTAATGCAAAATAGAATGTCAGTGAAATATTATATGGTATTAATGGAGTTTGGAACCTAGTAAAATTATCAGTATAGGGATGCTATTGAGGGTTAAATTAGTGTACTCCAAAGGTGCAGAAAGATTCAGGTGAAGTGATATCCAGTGTTCTACAGTTTATTACATTAACTCAAAATTGTTGTTTTTTTTTTTTTTTTTTTTTTTTTTTTTTTTTTTTAAGTACTGCATTTATATTTACTTGATAAAGACATTAATTTACATCTCCTTTCCATATTGGAAGCAAGGACAGAGGATTCTTGTTTTGAAAAAACATTAAAATAATTGTTTATTTCTCATAAGATATTCATCCTCTTACAAAAACTTGACTTCACAATTACGGAACAGTTGGTCATATACAAGCTATAAAATATAAATTATCAAAAATCATTGTGGTTGGTAAATGAATCATCACACCAAACCAATGTGGCCCAAATATGTAATTACTTTTAACCATAGGTTTTTTTTACCCGAACTGGCCCGACGGGTCGACTCGAATCCGGAGCAAGTCCGAGTGGGCCATTTGGACCGGGCAACAAATGATCCGATCAAAACCCAGCCAAACCGATCTTGACCCACCGACGTGAGGCATTAACTTATCATGAGATACATATTATTAACACTTTAATGTATAAATTTTATACCTAAAATATTTAATTTGTTATTTTTATGTATATTTAAGAATTATGCTTTTAACCAGGAAAAAAAAAAAATCCAAAATGACAGCTAACAAAAAAATTATATTTATTATGAAACACATCATAATAGTTTATATATTATTATTATTATTTTAATTATTAACTTTCATACATATACATATATATATATATATATTAAATAAATACGTCTGCGTGGGTCAGAAGTCGATTGCCTCACCAACCCACCGTATGAACAGCCAAATTACCTTTTCAATTACTTTAGTTTGGCTCAACCCCAAATCCCCAAGTTGGTGTCTCCCACCTTCGTTTGTATCGCTCACTGCTCTACTTGGCGACCTCCAGATTCAATCAGCCATGGCTTCCATTTCCAAGCTCTCAACCTCAGCTTTCACACAGTCGGCCACCAGCTCAAGGCCCAGCAACGGATCTTCACAGCGGCTCATCCGCTGTTTCGGTCCCATCAAACAAGCTCCCGCCTTTGATCATCCGCTTTTCTCTTCAAAGCTGAGCATGCGCAGCCATCTTCCCATCAGGGCTTCTCTGGTGTATGTATATCTTTTGTTTTTCACCTCATTTTTTTTTTCTCTTTCACCTTTTTGAAATTATGTGGTGAATCACTTATTAGAGAGATTATGGAGAAAGATTATGTTCGAAGATTTGGTCTTTTTTTTTGTTTTTCTGGTTGCTTCACAGATGGATTAAGTTATATTATTTGGGTGGTTTATTTGTAGAGTTGTTGAATGAGTGAAAGTGTAGGCTTTTCAAGTCTAACTCTGACTGTTCCTAATTAGAAGTTGCTTATCAGTGTCAGATGCTCAATGAATGATGCAAATGGAACAAGTGTAAAGAAAACCACTCTTCATGATCTTTATGAGAAGGAAGGGCAGAGCCCATGGTATGATAATTTATGCCGTCCGGTTACTGATCTTATTCCACTGATCGAAAGCGGAGTCAGAGGTGTAACTAGCAACCCGGCGGTAAAATTATCTTCTCCCATAATGAAATGATGCTGAATATACTATCTTTAGTAGTTCTTTGCCAATTTTCAACAATTTCTTTTAAATTTTATTGCAGATTTTCCAGAAAGCAATATCAACTTCAAGTGCTTATAATGATCAATTCAGGTAAAAGCATCAGATTTCTGTTCTGAAGTGTTTTTGTTGCTTCGAAATGGCTTTGAGTCATATCAACTTCAAGTAGCCTATTAGCTGATATGTCTTCTGATCTATATTTATATTTCATTTGTAAGTGAACTAGGGAAAAAAAAATGTACCGAAGGAGACTGATTGAGTTTTCCAGTCATGAGACACCTCTCTTCACTAGTGCATTAGCGATATCATTGTTGATGCAAGTGAATTATTGTAATTGTATGCAGTAATACAATTATTTGTTCATCGTAACTTGGAGCTTGCATCTTTATATCTTTTGTTCTCGATGAAGTTGCCGTTTATTTTCAGGTATTGATAAAAAGAGAGCAGAATTGAGTCTCCCAAATTACAGTTTGTTCATATTTATACCTGCAGAGAACTTGTTCAAACTGGAAAAGACATAGAAAGTGCGTATTGGGAACTTGTGGTGAAAGATATCCAAGATGCATGCAAACTTTTCGAGCCTATTTATGATCAAACAGATGGAGGTGACGGATATGTCTCAGTTGAAGTTTCACCCAGACTTGCTGATGATACTGTGAATACAATAGAAGCTGCGAAATGGCTTCACCAATGGGTTGATCGTCCTAATGTCTACATAAAGATTCCTGCAACAGCTGCATGCATTCCATCAATCAAGGAGGTCATTGCTCAAGGAATAAGTGTTAATGTTACGGTAAGTTGATTCTTTTACGCCCCTTTCAAGGGACCGATGGTAAGACTTTATCGGCAGTGGTTCAATAAATGCATACATAAGACTAGAAATTCTGATGGTCAAAGGCTTTTTATCTATAAATATTAATATTAAGGGTGTGATTGGATATGGATTTGATTGGTTGTTTTTAATTGGTATTTTTTAACCATAGTTGATTTTGAAAAAGTAGTGTGGTTAGTGAAAAATTAAGTTTAAATTAAAATATTATCTAAAATAAAATAATTAAAATTGATTTGATGTAAAAGTAAGAGAAAAATGATTGAAATTGATGGTTAATTAAAATTATGTGAGTGGATGAATAGTGAATTAAAGTTGATGTGATGTGTAAGGATAATTGGTTGATATTATTTAATATATTGTTAATATTGAGGATAGTAGAGTTGGGTTAAAGTAGAGTTTTGATTGGTTTTTTATTGGTTAAGTTTGTAACCAAGCACACCCTAAGAAAGATTCGGACTCTTTTCAACAGACATTGGTCCTATGTAGTGTATACTCTTCCGAACCAGTTAAGATAGTGAAAATCTAACAAACGCAGGCACATTTATTTTATATCTCGTTCCATTTTTAGACCGAGCTGCAATTTCAATACGAGATACTAATAGTGATCTTATGCTCTCTTTGCAGCTTATATTCTCTCTTGCTAGATATGAAGCGGTCATCGATGCTTACCTGGATGGTCTTGAGGCTTCGGGCCTCAGTGATCTCTCGAGAGTCACGAGTGTTGCTTCATTCTTTGTGAGTCGAGTGGATACGCTTGTTGATAAGGTGCTCGAGAAGATTGGGACACCTGAGGCACTTGATCTCCGTGGGAAGGTAATTCAAATGGACATGTATTTCGTGCGATGATGGTCGGAACTAGGCCTGCAAGCTCGGCTCGTTAAATAAACGAGTCAGAAATCAAGCTCGAGCTCGAGTCTCTAAGAGCTCGAGCCGATCTCGAGCTTGAGCCGATCTCGAGCTTTAACGAGCCAAACTATAAAAAATTATATGAAAATTCTCTTTTCGAGCATTATCGAGCCGAGCCACACCAGGCTCATTTAATTTAACAACACTAGGAACCAATGGCTGATTGTTGGGCTCGTGTATTTTTCACAGGCTGCAAATGCTCAAGCAGCTCTGGCTTACGAGCTCTATCAGAAGAAGTTTTCTGGGCCCAGATGGGAGGCTTTGGTGAAGAAAGGGGCAAAAAAGCAAAGGCTTCTGTGGGCCTCAACCAGTGTCAAGAATCCTGCTTATCCAGACACTCTATATGTGGCTCCTCTTATTGGACCTGACACAGTGAGTCAAATCTTATCTTCTTTGTATACAAATTTTTCCAAAAATATCCAATCATTTTTAACCAATCACTTTTTTTTTAGCTCAAATCTAACTCAATTTTGAATTATCAATATAATTAAATAATATCACTCATTCATTACTCATTCATTCTGACACAGTACATCAATTTTAATTCGTTCTTCATCTACTCACATTATCACTTCACATTATCTCTCTTCTACTTTTACATCAAATCAACTTTAATTATTTTATTTTTTAATATTATTTTAATATAAACTCAAAATCACACTAATAATTAATCATGTCACTTTTTTTTTTTTTCAAAATTAACCATTCCAAACAAAATCATAACATCTTATGCCCAAGTACTTGGCGACCTGTACCGACCAACCCAAATTTTTTTTTTTTTTTTTTT